CAAAAAAAAAAAAAAAAAAAAAATTCCGAATGAGCTGATCGAATCGCGTGCAGAAATTTCATTCGAATAAATTCGAATTGCATTGCAGTTGTGTTTAAAGAGATCTTCTTTTCTTTCTCGTCGATATAAATAAAGAACGCTTCTCCGTTTAAAATCTACTTTTGTGTCAATAGGAAACGAAGTATTTCCTTTGTATAACTTAGCATATCGCAGTGATATTCCGTGATGTATACTATATATATATAGAGAGAGAGAAAGAGAGAGAGAGAGGTAATCGGATTAATGAAAAAAATTCAAAGATTTAAAGAACGGAATGGACTTTTTAGATAATTATTCCGTATTTCACGTGTATACGTTCATAACATCTCTGATATCCTATAATTTTGTTAAATTTCATGTGTGTACGCATCTGCTTTTGATGTCGGATGTGGATACGAACGGTTCAGCGGTTGTCGTAGTTTTGTCGACGATTTTCCATCCGCGTACAGTGTTGAAAGATCGGGGTTGTTATTCGACTCTCGAATAACGGGACACCGAGGTACGGACGCGTAGGCGTCATGGTTAAAACCGGGGACGAGCGAAATTGGATGGAAATTTGAAAATTGCTGGAAAAGTTATGGATCGAAATTGGAATAGAGAATTGGAGAAAACGTTAATTAGATTCGATTTTTGTGCGGAAAGGGCGGTTCAAAGGAAAAGAGCGAGTGATTAAAGCGAGTCACGATTGATGAATTTGTCATCAGCGACGAGGGAACGATCGATATTTCCAATATTTTTGCGCACCAAACAATGAAATTAATAAAAGTAAGTCGGTTTATTTATCGATGTCCGGACAACTGATGTGATACGATTTTGATTTATTTAGAGAAAGAGAGAAAGAGATAGATTATTTTCTTCTTTATGATATGCATATTTTATATACCGAGGAATTCATTTCTCTCTATATTTTCATTCGAAATTTCCCGTATTATTAACGAAATTCTGTTATTTTTAATACAGAAAATAATAAGTGGAGAAAATACGGAAAAATTATTTTAATTATTAAAACA